ATAGCTAAATAAACATTAAAATTTACTGTTGGGGTGGGCAAGATGGCTCAGCTGGTAATGGCACTTGCCACCAAACCTGATGACACCAATTGGGTCCCCATACCCTGCATGGTGGAAGGAAAGAATCAACTCCCAAAAGTTGTCCTCTACCTACATACACATAACACATATATCACAAAATAAATGAATATAATAAATAAAATTCACTGTAAGTAGCTCTATATTTATTTCATCATTTTTGTGTTTAGATCTTTGTGTCAAAATTCTGAAAGAAGATAAAAAATGTCCAGGTTCTTCACAGTTAATTAAGTGGTAAGTAAAAAATACCTAAAGATAGAAAATTATTTTTCTAAATCAGACTCTTGGTACACTGAATAACCAAATCTTAGTTATTGAAAATTTGAATAACCAAAGTTTAGTTATTAACCCTTTAGATCAAGTACCATTTTCTCAAGGCTTTGAATTTATTCCTTATTTCATGCTCCATATAAGCAGGCTTCATTTTCATATTATTGCTGTCCACAAAATAACTATTAGATATTTCATAATTTTCTTTTCCTCCTCTCATCCCCATATTTCTACTACATTGTTTCTTATGTTTTATTTTGTTCAGTTTTGAGCTAGTTTATAAGAAAGATACTTTAACTACTAGTTTTATAATGATGCAGCAATGAAGAGAATTATTTTTTGGAAATACATTCAATATAGAAATTAATCTTTAACTTTTTCTTAGGATGCTAGGATGCTACGATGCTTTGCAGAAAAAATATGTAAGTCTTCCAGCATCTCATCCTTTCCCTATGCTTTATATACTATAAATCTAATTGGAATTATCATGTAATAAAGCATTAATTTAAACTAACTTGGAGATAGACCAATCTTAGTTACTAAAAAATCTGAGCATTTGAATATTTTTTAAAGATTTATTTTATGGGGCTGGAGAGATGGCTCAGCAGTTAAGAACACTGGTTGTTCTTGCAGAAGACCTGGGTTCAAATCCCAGGACCTACATGGCAGCTAACAACTGACGGTAACTCCAGTCCTGGGATCCAACAGCCTCTTCTGAACTCCACAGGCATTGCATGATATTGCACGTACCTACATGCAGGCAATACACACATACACATAAAATAAAAATAATAAATAAGCCGGGCGTGGTGGCGCATGCCTTTAGTCCCAGCACTCCGGAGGCAGAGGCAAGGAGATATCTGTGAGTTCAAGGCCAGCCTGGTCTACATAGTGAGTTCCAGGTCCAGTTCCAGGGGATCCGACAGCCTCTTCTGTCCTCTTCGGGCATTGCACGACATGGGTGCATTTACCTACAAGCAGGCAATACATGCATACACATAAAATAAAAATAATAAAATTTTTTAAAAAGTTAAAAAAAAGATTTTACTTTATTTTATTTTATATGTATCTTTTGCCTTCGTGTATGTAAGTGTACCATGTGCATGCAATGCCTGTATAGGCCAGAAGAAGGCATATCCGATCCCCTGGAACTGGAGCAACGGACAGTTGTTAGCCACCATTTGGTTGCTGGGAAATGAATCCTGGTCTGCTAGGGCAGCCATTACTCTTAACTGCAGAGCCATCTCTCTAGCCCCTATTTTATTTTATTTTTTGGGGGGGGTGTCTTTTTGAGACAGGGTCTCCCTGTAGCCCCAGCTGGTCTGGAGCTCACTATGTAGACCAGGCTAGCCTTAATCTCACAGAGCTTCTCCTGCCTCTGTCTCCCGATTGCTGGGATTAAAGGCCTGTGCCACCTCCCCCTGCTGTATCTTTGATGTTATATGGTGTTGGATCCCCTGGAGCTGGAGTTACAAAAAGTTGTGACTAAGCCATCTTTTCACCCCTGCATTTGAGTATTTTAAGGACCAATCTTCAATTCATTTAAGTTAATGCAATTAATACTAAGCAAATTTTACCAAGCTAGTTTTGACCAATTAGCAATTCATTAATATTAATACCATATCCATATATTAACTTACAAAATATTAGTTTAAATTATTTTAGTTTCATATGTATTCTACAATCTTGCTTATACTAGTATAGCAATCATTTTTTCTGATTTTATTTGAGACAGGGTTTCATGTAGCCTAGGCTGGCATTAACTATATCGTAGAGGATGGCTTTGAATTCCTGATTCTCTTGTCTCTACCGCCCAAGCGCTGTAATTACAGGCCTAAACCATCATCCATTATGCCTGTCAATAAATCAATAAATTCTTTTTTTTTTTTTAATTGAGATAGTGTCTCATTATGTGGCCCTAGCTGGCCTGGAATTTACTGAGAGCTTCCTGGCTCAGCTTCCTGAATGCTGGGATTAAAGGAGGTGTGAACTACCATGCTCAGCCTCTTCCTTCCTTCTTTCCTTCCTTCCTTCCTTCCTTCCTTCCTTCCTTCCTTCCTTCCTTCCTTCTTTCTTCTTTTTTTTTTTTGGTCTTTTTGAGACCAGGCCCCAGCTGGCCTGGAACTCACCACGTAGACCAGGCTGGCCTCAAATGCACAGAAATCCCCATACTTCTGCCTCCTGAGTGCTGGGATTAAAGATATGCATCACCATGCTTGGCATATTATTTCTTAAGCAGAATCCAAAAATAAATTTTCTTGGGTTAAGGATGTAGACCAGTGGCAGAGTAGTTATCTAATATGCACAGTCCCTGAGTTCAATATCAGTATAACAAAAATAAGTTTTTGTATAGTTCAAGTTCAATATCACACATTCTGAAATAGTGAATTTTTAATTTAATTTATTTATATGTTTGAGTCAGGGTCTCTAGACTCTGTGCTCAAGCTGGCCTGAACTTATTATCTAGCCCATGCTAGCCTTGAACTCATGACAGTATACCAAAATAGTGAAATTTAAAATTTTTACTTGTTTTATTTTTATGCGTATGAGTATTTTGCCTGCATGTATATAAATGCACCACAAGCATGCAATGCCCATGGAAGTCAGAACAGGGCATCAGATCTCCTGAAACTGAAGTTATGGACAGTAGTTAACCACCACATGGGTGCTGAGAATCAAACTCAGGTCATCTGCAAGAGAGCAGCCAGTGCTGTTTATCATTGAACCATCTTTCTACTCCCTTAAATTAAGATTTTACAGTAGACTACAAGCCTTTTTACATAGTTAGCATCATTTTAAGCAGCATGTACAGAGAAGTCCAGTTCTAGCAAAATTGTGAAGATGAATTTTTATCTATAATCCCTAATTTTCCCTGTTAAGACATAGCAAATATTAAACACCACATAAATTCTGGCACCTAGGAGCAGAGGTAAGATAGCAGTGGTCAACAAAACAGTCAATAAAGCAAGCAAATGCTTTCCAATAGTGTTAAATGCCATTAAAATTTTTAGGCAAGCTATAAGGAATTGGAATAACTTGTAGATATGATGGTCAGAAGTGTTTCCCCAAGGAGGTGTTATTTAAACTGAGATCTGAAAGAGAAGTCAGCCAGGCATTGATTTGTATTTCCAGCAGAGAAGCAGAGTTGTAGAGAAGTTTGGACGGTTCCAGGAACAAAAGAAAATCAATATGACTGGAGAACAATTGAGCCACGGGGAGAATGACATGATAGGAACTTGGGGAGATAAACAGGGCCAGACATTGAATAATTTGTAGATAAAGAGTTTGGATTTTATTTCAGGTAGAAAAAAAAAGAAGTGAAAGTTTTAAGTAGAAATGTGACATCATTTGATTTACATTAAAAAAATACTTGTTTTGAGACAGAGGCTCTGTATAGCCTCAGCTGACCTGGAACTCACTATGTAGACTGGGCTGGCCTTAATCTCACAGAGTTCTGCCTGCCTCTGCCTACCAGGTTATGGGAATAAAGGCATGTGCCACCACACCCAGCTTTAATTTAAGAAAAAAAATGTCCTTTGGCTTGCTATTTTAAAAGTGTACTATAGGGGCTGGAGAGGTGACTCAGCAGTTCAGAGCACTGGCTATTCTCGCACAGGACCTGGGTTTGATTCCCAGCACCCACGTGGCAGCTAACAACTGTAACTTCAGTTCCAGAGGCTCTGTCACCCTCTTCTGTCCTTCACAGGCATTGCACAATATGTGGACTTACATACATGAAGACATAACACTCATACTCATAAAATATAAAACCAGAAAATTTTAAATGTCTGTAGAAGGAGAATAAGGTTGAGAGTAAGTCAGTACGCAGACCATTACTTAGTGATGGTAAGCAGTAGTGGTGGCAAGCACCAGATGGCAGATGAGATAACTCAGGATAGATTTTTCTCAATAGAACTGATTGAATTTGTTGATGTATTGCATGTGATATGTGAGAAAACGATAATCCAAGGATGCCTCTAGATTTTTGGTACATCACCCAACTGAATAATTTCTTGTTAGTTTTCTGTTCCCATGTTTTCTAAAGCTTCATTTACTAAGTGCCCTACTTTTTCTCTTTTCAAAATCAGTACTCATATTGATGAGGTTTAATGTATTATTTCACAATATATTTTTACCTTGTAACTAACAGTAATGTTCTATTTGATTAAGTCAATGTCATAAAATGCTGGCATGAATTTCAGCCATCTGAAAGCCAAGTAAAGATAACTTATTTGGCAGAGCAGACATGATAGGAAATCTGTCTTCCATAAAGATAATTTGTTTTTGGAGATAAATGTTGAGCTAGGAAAAATAGTTCTGGAGGTTGGGGTACACTGAACTTTGAACCCAGGGTTTTACACATGCTAAACACATGCTCTATTACTGAGCTATTCTCCCAGCCCCTGAACTAGTACAGATTCCTATGGTCCATCATGAAAATTCATTTTATAGAATATTTTTATTTTCTGTTGTATTTCAGCTAAGGATGATCATTCTGGCTGTAAGTATTTTTAAATTGTATCTTCTTTTTAACAGACTGTCAAATTTGGCCTTGCTTCGTTAAATGACACTGAAACTGCCAGTTGATTTTGTCATTTTTTTCAAACAGCTCATCTAGTCAATGAAGAAAAAGTAATATTTTAGGAAGTCATTTTCTTTTTGTTTTGTTTTGTTGAATTCACTTAATGCTTTAGTCTAAACATCTAATTTAATTCTTTCTGAATACTTAACATCACTTTAATTAATTTTAAATTATTTTACATAGGTATACACCGATCCAGAAGATCCTGTGGTAAGTGTGATTGAACTAGAAACATTAAAAATCTAATGCTTCTAGGCCAGGTGTGGGTGGTGCATACCTTTAATCCCAGCACTTGGGAGTGAGAGGCAGGCAGATCTCTGTGAGTTCAAGGCCAGCAGGGGCTACATAGTGAGTTCCAAGCCAACTGGGGCTACAAGGAAACCCTGTCTCAAAAAGATACAAAGAAAAAAAGAGAGAGAATTGTGACTTCAATAGAACAGTCATTTTTATCTTCCAGGAAAAAAAAATCCCATTCCTCAAAATTGTTGCACTAGGAACTTAAGTTTTCCAGTACATAAACTCACATTCAAACTATAGCATTTAGCCACTCTGCTGAAGTATGGTTCCTCCATACTTCATATATAACATGCATTACAATGAGAAGGGGAATAGCTGTCCAATACTAAAGTCACAAATTCCAGACAGTCAGGATTAACTAGGAGTCTAGTGGACCAATAGGGATTAACACATCAGAGAAAACTACTGACTGAATGTCAAATCATATAAAGCAGCATATACCTGTTTGTCAGCCAACCCTATGCATCAGTTACATAACTGTGATGTTTTCTATTTAAGACAATTTCAGAATGTTATCAATTTAAGTTCAAGTACAACAAAAATGGACCAGTCATGGACTTTATAAGGTATTGTTCTATAGTTTTCTTTTTATATTACAAATTATTACTTTTTTATTAATGCTATTTGGTTAGACTTTGGGGTTATTCCTGAAATTTCTCAAACCTCAAATTAGCTATCAAGATGTGGCTTTACAAAATGGAGGATTGGGTTGTGAGGCTGATGTGATTATGATATCTGCCACTCACTGATCACTAGAGTTAATTTGGTTGATCCGGCTGGCTAACCTGGTGGCCCCTTCCTCCGTTACCTTTCCATGTGGTTCACTCCCAATACTTCACACTTGATCAAAGAGGATGACCTTCCCTGATAGAGGAGGATTATACTTCATTCCAGGGTATATGAGTAACTGTGCTTCCCACCTAGAACTTCCAAACAAGCTCTCAAAATTGAGTAGTTGGTTGTAATAGCTGCAAAACAAGATTATGTAGATAATTATATACTATTTTAATTGTAGAAAAGGATGTGGGTAATTAGAAATGTAATTAAAATCCTTTATTCACTACCAGACATGGTGGCGCACACCTTTAATCCCAGTACTCAGGAGGCACAGGCAGGCAGATTTCTGTGAGTTTGAGGCCAGCCTGGTCTACATAGTGAGTCCAGGCCAGCTGTGGCTACAGGGAGACCCTGTCTCAAAAAAGCAGTAACAAAAAAATCCATAATTCACTTCCTTTTAAATGCTTTATATAAATTTCATATTAATTTTACTTATGTAAAATTTATATTTAGTTTATAATATGTTAATAGTGATAGTAATGTTAATAGTGATATTAAGAATTTTTTATGTGTATGAGTGTATTGCCTGCATGTATGTAAGTGCACTCATGTCATTCAATGCCCTCAGAGGTCAGAAGAAGTCATCGAATCCCCTGAACTGGAGTTACAGATCATTGTTAGCTGCCACGTGGGTGCTGGGGATCCAAACCCTGATCCACTCTTAACCACTGAGCCATCTCTCCAGCCCCAAATTTTAGTGACATTAAAATATTTTACGTTTTTAATTATGTGTATAACTATCAAAATTTACTTATTAAAATCACATTACTCCCAACCTTTAGAAAATGAAAAATAATAGTATTAAAAGGCATCTTCTTATTCCAGACTTCGTCTAATAATGAGGAATTCTGTCTTCACTCCCATAACTGACTGAAATTGCTTTATGTGTCTGTTTAGGACTATAAAAGTATGCTATTTTCTGTTTGCTGCTTTTTATGGATATGATTGATATGACTTTGCTATTAAAAAAATATATTTTATGGTAACTTTCAACTTAGTAACAATGCTATAATAAGAATCTCAAATTGTTAAAATGTGAAGTTATATTAGAAACCACTAGTTTTCTGAAAAAAATTTATGTCTAATTCTCTTCTAGCAAAAATCAAAGCAGTAAATCTAATGCACCATCTGCTGACACCAAGAAAGCAAGTATTCTCCTCATTCGGAAGATTTATGTTCTAATGCAAAATCTGGGACCTTTACCTAATGATGTTTGTTTGACCATGAAACTTTTTTACTATGACAGAGGTACTATATTTGGAGTATGTCTTATACCTGTGTGTTTCATTATTATTTTAAAAATTATTTTGTATTACTTATGTTTTTTGCTTTTGTTATATGGTTTTTGAAATTAGAAAACTTGCATTTAATATGAGTAGTTGGAAAAGAATTATTTGGGGGCTACAGAAATAGCTCAGAAGTTAAGAGTGCTTGCTGTTCTTATAGAGGACCAGAGTTTGTTTCCTAGCACCCATGTCCAGTTCTAGGGGAATCCATCATCCTCTTCTGGCCTCCATGGGCACATGTATGCCTGTGCACAGACACACACATACCCATAAATAAAAATAAATCTTTAAAAAATGAAAAATATTTGCAAAAATAGGCTTTAAAATATGCATTTCTCTAGTGATAGGAACATATCCAACATATCCATATGAAATATGACTTATAATTAAAGAAATGAAATAATGAAATACCAGTTTTCACTTTATCAGATTAGTAAAATTTGTAAACCGTTGTTTTTGTGGTTTTTTTTTTTTTTTTTTGGTCTTTTTGAGACAGGGCCTCCCTGTAGCCCCAGCTGACCTGGAACTCACTGTGTAGACCAGGCTGGCCTCGAACTCACAGAGATCCACCTGCCTCTGCCTCCCAAGTTCTGGGATTAAAGACATGCAACACCATGCCTGGCATGTAAACCATTGTTAAGAAAGCATATGCTGAGCAGACCTCCAGAGAGTGCTTGTTCTGGCCTTCCTCTGGCATAGGGGCTGAGAACTCAGGGGGCCACCTGACAGCACCTGAATCCTGCCTCCAGGTGGTGATTCTCATCTGGAATTGGAGTAGCCCCACTGGTTCCCTCCAAACCACCTCTATAACATCAAGGCCAGCCTTGTCTAACAGTGAGTTCCAGGCCAGCTGAGGCTACAGGGAGATCCTGTCTCAAAAAGACAAAAAATAATAATAATAACTTGCATAAATAGTAAAGATTATATATTTATAAGGACTTTCTTTATAACATTAGTTAAAATAGAAACAAAATGTAAACAACTGTGTGTCCTTCCTTGGAAATTAAGTAAATTATGTTGCATCTGTATAATAAAATACCATGCCTGCCAGTAGTGCTCTTTTTTACTGCCCATCTCACTTCCCCTTGCAATTTACTTCTTTTAAAAAAGAAGAAGAGCTAAATATGATCTCACCTATGGGATTTTTTAAGGTTTATTTATTTTTATCTTATGTATGTGTTTGCCTACATGTATGTATGTTCTTAGCATCCTTGGAGTCCAGAAAAGGGTGACAGATCTGGAACTGGAGTTACAGTTGTACTCACTGTGTGGATGCTGGGAACTGAACCCAGGTCTTCTGTAAGAGCAATACATGCTCTTAACCATTCAACCATCTCTCTAGCCCCTCGCCTTTTTTTGTTTTTAATAGAAGGAAGAGTTTATTTGAGCTTACAGTTCAGAAGGGTTAGAGTCCATAATGGCAGGGAAAGCATGGTCAGAACAGAAAGCCAAGCAATCACATCGTCAAGCAGGCACAGGAAGCAGAGGGTGACTAGAAATCTGGCAAGGCTTAACTCTCAAAGCCTATCCCCCAGTGACTTGCTTCCTCCAGCAAGGCCACATCTCCTAAAAACTTCCCAAAACAGTTCCACCAATTGAGAACAAAATGCCCAAATACTTGGAGACTATGGGGACAGTCTCATTCAAACAACCACATTCTACTCCATGGCCCCCATAGGCTCATAACCATATAAAATGAAAAATGTATTTAATCCATCTTCAAAAGCCCCCACAGGAGCCAGGCATGGTGGCTCATGCCTTTAATCCCAGCACTCGGGAGGCAGAGGCAGGTGGATCTCTGTGAGTTCAAGGCCAGCCTGGTCCACATAGTGAGTTCCAGGACAGCTGGGGCTACAGGGAGACCCTGTCTCAAAAAGTCCCCACAGTCTTTGCCAGTCTCAGTATTATTCAAAAGTCCAGAATCCAAAGTCTCTTTTGAGACTCAGGGTGATCTATTTACTGTAAGTTCCCGTAAAATCAAAAGACAAATTACACACTTCCAACATACAATGTAGTCAAATACACATTCTCATTCCAAAAGGGAAGAATGGGGGCATAGTGAGGAAATACTGGACCAAAACAAGACCAATAACTGGCAGGGAAAACACCAAATCCAGTAGCTCCATGTCTAATTTTTGGGACTTTACTTCCAAAGGGTTTAGATGGCACACACAGCCCCTCTAGCTTTGCTATGTGCAACATACATCTCTCTCTTGGGCTGGTACTATTTCCTGTATGTAGCTCTCCTTGGCAGATGCCTCATGGCACTAGCATCTTGTGGTCTCCACTGCCAACTAGGCTTCACCTTCACAGCTTTACATGTACAATGGTCGGTCAGGATCTCCTTTACACAGGGACACCCGTGTTACACGGTGTCTGGCCTCAGCTGCTCTCTGAAACCACATAGGAAGAACAGAGATGACCCCTACACATTTGTACCTCTCATGTCTCTGAAGCCAGAACCATGCGAATGAAACTGCCAAGTTTGGCTACCAGCCTGGGATAGATCCTGATCTGCCTGTGTTTTTTAAGGATATATATTTTCTAAAATATATACAAACATAAAACATTTTATTTTATGCATAATATTTCCTATATAAACACATAACATTGTCTTTTATTACATGTATAATGTTTTCAAAAATAATAATGTTTACCAAATATTCACTGTATACCTGTCCTGAACATTTTACAACATTTTACTATTTCATAACCACAGTGATCTTGTACGAGTAGGTATTGTTATTTTCCCCATTTAATGAATGAAACCAAATCAAAGATAATAATTTGCTCATAGTCATGCAGGCAATCAAGAAAATGAAAGTTATCTTGAGGGAATAAAATTACCTTTTAGACATAGGAGGAATATGGTTTCTACATTTCAGTGTAGGCCCTTTATACTATTTGAAAGTTACTCTGCATATGTTTTATCATAGTAGTTTGGTTTCTTTAATTTTATGAAGTTTATGCTTCCCTTTTTGCAGTCACACCCCCAGATTACCAACCTCCTGGTTTTAAGGATGGTGATTGTGAAGGAATAGTATTTGAAGGGGATCCTACATACTTAAATGTGGGAGAAGTCCCAACACCTTTTCACACCTTCAGATTAAAAGTGACCACTGAGAAATATCGAATGGAAAATATTGACCCAAGTGTACTAGTACCCAAACAATCAAAAATACCGTTTCGGAAACTTCTAATGGACAAAGATGATATAGAAGATGAAAATCATGTAAGTGTGAACACATTTAAGGAATTCTAAAATATAGTAGTAACAAATGTTTACCTGATTTTGAGGACTTTAATAGACCTATTTAATATTTCCATAAGTACTGTAGTATAATCATAAATTCAAGGTTGGAAGGGACTTTATTTTTGAGACAGGATCTTACTGTATAGCATAGCTAGCCTGGAACTTACTGTGTAGATCAGGCTGGCCTCAAATTTGTGGCAATCTTTCTACCTTTGCCTCCTGAGTGCTGGGATTACAAAAGAAGGGACTTTAAAGAAAGTCTAGACCCATGGCTTTAAAACTTTACCCATCGGGGTTGGGGATTTAGCTCAGTGGTAGGGTGCTTGCCTAGCAAGTACAAGGCCCTGGGTTCGGTCCTCAGCTCCGGAAAAAGAAAAAAAAAAACTTTACCTAGAACAAAAAAGCATAATTAATCTGATTGAAGCAAGGAAAATCCTAGAGACTAACTCACCTACCATCATAGTGTACTTGAGGAAATCCCCAGGACTCAAGGGAATAATTTGAAAGTCTTTGTGATAGTCTTATACCCCAACTAATGATGAAATCCATTTTACAGTATTCTTACTAAGTGTCTGTATAGCTTGTGCTTAAATTTCTCCAGGACTTGAGGTAGCCAGAAGTTCCTGAAAGGCATAAAAAGTATCATTTGTCTTACAATCCTCATGTACCTAGTACTTAGATGTAGACTGGATTCCTAGCATTGAGTGACTGAAGTATAAAAGAATTTTGTCTAATCCCCAACAAATGTAGAAGTCATTGTTTTTATCTTTTTAGTATTAATATTATGTTCTTTAATCTCAATTCTCTTGTCTAGTTATTCTAAATTATGACTAAAGTACTTGTGTACAAGAGGCTTATTATTCCAAGCTAGGTTCTCTGGCCACATCTCTACAAATAGAAAATTTCACTTTTGAAATTTTCTTTCGGTTTTTGTTGTTTTGTAGTGCTGGAGCTTAAACCTGAGACCTTATGCATGCTAGGCAAGCACTCTACCACTGAGCCACCAAGCCACAGCCCTAGTCCTGAAAATTTAATTTTCAACTAATCCAGTCAAAAAAGAAAGTTAAGCCGGGCGTGGCGTCGCACGCCTGTAGTCCCAGCACTTGGGAGGCCGAGGCAGGTGGATCTCTGTGAGTTCAAGGCCAGCCTGGTCTACATAGTGAGTTCCAGGCCAGGTGGGATTACAGGAAAACCTTGTTTCAAAAAGACCAAAAAGAAAAGAAAAAGAGAAAGAAAGAAAAGAAAGTTAAAGCTGGGCATGATGTCACACACCTTTAATTCCAACATTGGGGAGGCAGAGGCAGGTGGATCTCTATGAGAGCAAGGACACATAGCAAGTTCCAGGCCAGCTGGGGCTACAGGGAGGCCCTGTCTCTACCCCGCCGCCCAAGGTGTTGGGATTATGGGCATGAGCTCACAATAGAGTCTTAGGCTGAAGAGATGACTCAATGGATAAAGTGCTTGCTGCACAAACATAAGGATGTGACTTCGGATCCCTGGCACTCATGTAAAAGGGGCATGCATGCTGGGTGTGCATGGTGCACATTTGTAAACCCAGTGCTGGGCAGCAAAACAGGAGGCTCCCAGGAACTTGCTGCCCAATCTAGCCTGCATTCCAGGTACAATCAGTGATAGACCCTGTCTCAGAAAAAAAAAAAAAAAAGTGAAGAGTGATACAAGAAAACAACTGGCTTCTGACCTCTGACCTCCACATGCATACCCTTACACTTGTGCACAGACACATAAAATATTTGAGTCTTTTACATATGTCACAAGCAAAACAGTAATTTAGACTTTAAACTTACTATTTCCACCTTAAAAGAAACTGATCTCATCCTCTGTTAACTTCCTGAAGAGGGTTGGGGCATATTCAGAGCTACGTAAGTATAGCCTGTGTAAACATGCCTAATTCAGAAGTCTCAAACAATGATAAAAATACGAGGATTTAGAATCATCATGCATTTTAGAAAAAGTGTATTTTTAAAATATTTTATTGTTTTTACTTTTTTAAAATATTATTTTTATTCAAGTGCATGAGTGTTATGCCTGCATGTAGGTAAGGGCACCTGTGTTGTGCAATGCCTGTGGAGGACAGAAGAGGTTGTCAGATCCCCTGGAACTGGAGTTATGGACAGTTGTTAGATGCCATGTGGGTGCTGGGATTCAAACCCGGGTCTTCTGAAAGAACAGTTAGTGTTCTTAACCGCTGAGCCATCTCTCCAGCCCCTATTATTTTTATTTTATGTGTTAATGTATTGCTTGCATGTAGGTAGGTACGCCCATATCATGCAATGCCTGTGGGAATCAGAAGAGGGTGTCAGATACCCTGGAACTGGAGTCACAAATGGTTGTTAGCTGCCATTTAAGTGCTAAGAATCGAACCTGTGTCCTCTGTAAGAGCAGCCAGTGCTCTTAACCACTGAGCCATCTCTCCAGCCCCCAAAATGGTGTATTTTTTTTATCATTTATCCTTATAACAATTCTACAAAGTAAATTTCTATCTTGTTTGAATAAATTGCTTTTTGATAGTAATTATAATAACACTTATTTCTAGCAAGCATAAGGTATGATTTTATATTTACTCATCACATAAAGCAAATTTGCTCATAAATATTTCTTTCTCACATATTTATGTAGGATAATTGTGACATTAATACTAAAATGGAAAAGCAGAAAAAAAACTCAGGAGCTTCTGAAATTAGAGGTAAGAAGCTAACAAAAATGTTGATTAACTTCTAATTCAACGTTATATCATTTTAACTTCTTTTTTTTTTTAACAGAACCAAATTTAGTTTGTAAGGAAGATGAAATTATGCAGTATAAAGAAAGCTCAAATCTTCTAATTTCTCATTCTCAGGTATAAACTTGATAGTTTGATCTGACTTTCAATTTTATGATTGATTGATTGATTGATTGATTGATTGATTGATTGAGACGGGTTCTTACTATGTAGCCCTGACTGGCTTGGAACTCACTATGTAGACCAGGTTAGCCTCAAACTCTTATCTATCTTCCTGCCTCTGTCTTCTGATTGTTGGCATTATAGGTGTGAACCATCAAATCTAGCCTTAATTTTTTCTAAAAAGATGGTTACTTATGTGCTTATTTCATTGTATCTCTGATTTTCTTATCTCAGGTATTGTAAAGTAAAATTAGGTATTTAAATAAATTATTATGGATAAAACTATTATATATTGAAAAGCTTTTAGTATATTACTGTGAATTTATTTTGTAATAAGCCTTAGAAATGTCCATAAAGGGCTAGTGAGATGACTCAACAGGTAAAGGCATTTGCCACCAAGCCTAATGACCTGAATTTGATCCCTGAGACCCACATGGTAGAAGGAGAGAACCAAGTCTTACTAGATGTCCTCTGACTTCCACATGTACACTGTGATGTGCATGCCCCCTAACAAAAAATAAATGTAAAAAAGTTATTTTGTTTTTGGTTTTTTGGGGGAGTTTGTTTGTTTGTTTGTTTGGTCTTTTTGAGACAGGGTCTCCCTGTAGCCCCAGCTGGCCTGGAACTCACTATGTAGACCAGGCTGGCCTTGAACTTGCAGAGATCCACTCTGCCCCGCAAGTGTTGGAATTAAAAGCGCATGTGACCATGCCCAAAGTAAAAAAGATTTTTAAAAATGATCACAGAATCTCAAATTTTCATAGCTAGATAAAAACCTTATGCAATTTCTTTTCTTTATTATTTGCTTGAAGAATTGAGACCAGGTTTGGTTATATAGTCTTAGCTACCTTGGAACTCACTATTCTAGATTAGGCTGGCCTCAGACTTGTGGCAATCGTTCTATCTCTGCCTCCTGAGTGCTGTGATTAGAGGTGTGAGCCACTATGCCCAGCCCAGCACAAGATACTAAATTTTAGGTGATTAAATTTTCAGATGCTATTTATTATGAGTTTTATAATTTTATGTTATGTGGTTTGTATAATTTTATTTCCTAGGTTGAACAGTTAGTCAGTAAAACATCTGAACTTCATATGTCTGAAAGCAAAACAAGAAGTGGAAAAATATTTCAGAATAAAATGGTAAATACCTATTTAAGGACATTTTCCATTCTAACTTTGTAATTCCCCCTTCATATGTGAATTTGTTTTCCAATATTAAGTAGCTATTATGTACCAGGTACATATTAGGTGGTGCAGAGCTAGATGTTGACACGTGTGTATCTGTATGTGTTATGTGTATGTATCTCACATCGTTCCTGATCTTAGCTAAAAGTGTGGTACCAAGGGCCAGGTGTGGTGGTGCATGCCTTTAATCCCAGCACTGGGGAGGCAGAGACAGGTGGATCTTTGTGAGTTCAAGGCCAGCCTGGTCTACATAGTGAGTTCTAGGACAGCTGGGGCTACAGGGAGACCCTGTCTCAAAAAGACAAAAAAAAAAAAAAAAGTGTGGCACCTGAAAGGAGACAATGACATGAAGCTACTGTAGGTGTCAAGATAGACCCATAGAGGCACAAAGGAAAGAATGGCTAACTTTAGTCAAAATATACTAGAAAGAAGAATCTGAGAAAAGCTTTTGAGAAGTAATATTACATAGACTCTCAAGGAAATGTTCTAAAATACCAGAATGTTCTCATGTTCTGTTTTGCAAATTGATTATCTAGGCATTGCAAATTGATCTTTTGTAGATATCTTACTTGAAATAAATCTCATTAAGGAAAAAAATCAATTTTATTTTAAAGTATGAATTTTACTAACTATAAATTCATATTTGATTTGATTTTCTCTTTTTGAGACAAGGTCTCATGTAACCCAGATTGGTGTTGAACTCACTATGTAGCTGAGGTTGGCCTGGAACTTTTAGTCCTCCTGCCCTTACTTTCAGAGTTTGGATTACAGGTACACACCACCATATCCAGCTCACATTTGATTTTAGAATTTTAAGTTACTCTTAAAGATTCAGGAGTGGAGAAAAAGCATTCTTTAAAATATAAAATTAAGAGGGCTGGAGAGATGGCTCAGCAGTTAAGAGCACTGACTGCTCTTGCAGATGACATGGGTTCAACTCCCAACACCTCACATGGTGGCTAAGAACTGTCCTTAACTCCAGTTCCAAGGGAATCCAATGCCATCTTCTGACCTCCACAGCATTGCACTACATGGGTGCACTCACATACATGCAGGCAATACACTTGTATACATAAAATAAAAAAATAATAAATGAATTTAAAATCTAAAGATATATCAGCTGGGCATGGTGGCACACGCCTTTAATCCCCAGCACTGGGAAGGCAGAGACAGGCAGATGTCTGTGAGTTCAAGGCCAGCCTGGTCTCCATTATCAAATCCAGGCCAGCTGTGGCTACAGGGTGACCTTGTCTCAAAAAGACCGCCCCCCTCAAAAGAAAGAACATGGTTCTTGCAGAAGACTGGGGTTCAAATCCCAGCACCCACGTGGCAGTTAATAACTGTCTGTAACTCCGT